CCACCACCTGCCTCGAGGTGCGATGCTAGGGGATGTTGTATTAGTTTGGAAGAGGTTTCAGGGTGACGAGACCAAGACGTGGGACTAGTGGATGAAATCTCTTAGTATTGGCCTGAGCCGTGTTGGGAGATGTAGACTGAGTGGTTGGAGCTGCGAAGACGAAAGGAATCAGTGGTTGAGGAATAACTCTTAGTGAGATAGCCAAAAATTGGTCACAATGGCGCAGGTGTATTCACACCTTGACATCTAAAACTCGAATGTTCAACCAACCTTTATCTTCAAACGGTTTGTTCTCTCACACAATTGTGTCTACTTTGATGTCACTTTTTCTATCCACCTGTTCTAGTGTGCTGCTGTGTGTACTGTGACAACTTAAACCGAGACACTTGTGTGGGGTTCCTTGTTGATTTCAGTGTATTTTGTTGTTGTGTTGTAATTTATGTTCATAAAACATGGTCGTTAAAAGTAAAAGACATAGTAGTGCCTCTGGGTTTCTGTCGTGGCGACCCTCTAAGCATTGGTGCTGTGTTGAAGTGTCCATGTAAATGTGACGTCAGATGTAGAGTTTTCTTTGACGGGAGGGGGAGGATTCACTATTGACTGAGGCGGCTGGGACATGCGTGAGACGCATGCTTAGCCACCGTCTGCTCCGTCGCCAGATGTTTTGCTTGAATAGATTTAGGCTAAAAAAAGGCTAAAGCATGTCATCATTGCATGAAGTCCTTGACTGTAGTCTGAGCCATGTAGGAGAATGTAGACTTCTTGGTTATGGTCCATGTAACAGCAGAAACTATTAGTTGGAGACTAGGTGATATGGCTTAAAATCAATTTTTTTTTTGCCAGATGCATCTACACGTTATCTTCATCCTAATCTTCATGCTGAATTCAGTATTTCCTCCTTCTTAACTGCTTTTGATAGATTCTTCTTTCTTTATCTTTCATCTGAATGCTTTTTATGCTAATGTGGTTTGGAAACTTGGAGCGTTACGTTGTAATTCCTGGTTCCATGACATTGATGATGTTGATGATGTATTGGTTAATATTCAGCGGGGCCATGAAGTGGCTCACCATCATACGCAACTAGGCTTGAACGGCAGTCCCCGGGGTACAAAACGTCTCCGGTTTTCATGAGCCAGCATCACTTAGCCACGCCATATAGAGCTTCTTCACTTAGATGCCTTGACACGTAAATATGAAGTGTATATATGCTGTCGAGAGTCATGGCTATTCCCCGCCAATATTGATAATAACCGGGCAACCTCCCTGTATCCGCACCCTACTTCTATCAGCTACCAATATAATCAACCTTATCAAGCTACTTAGGAAAGGGAATGATGAATAACTTTTCTTTCGCCAAACTAAGTCAACTGTAAACGATGCATAAACCAGCGATCTACAATTTGGAAGCGTAGGACATAGGTCAGATCACAACTCCGTGTGTTCATATGTGAAGTCCAAGTTATCTTCATAAATTACTCAGTCTGAATTGATAAAAATCAATGATAACAGGAGAAATATCTACATCTGAGTTGCATGAAAATGAGTTCTTAGACAACTCAATAAATTTTTGTAAGCCCTAAGCAGCTCAATCAATTCACATTCTATACCTCTAAGAAGGACTATACGAATTGATTTCACTTTATTCGATAGCTCTTTTTCTAACTCACTAAACAGTAAGTTGCCGTCCGTAACCAAAAACCTTTTGTAGTAACCAACTTAATAAACACTTCATCAGCTGTTTTATTTTGAACCTCCACTGTTGTAATATACTTCGTAGTTACTCTTGATGAGCGACTTCTCCTAAACCTCAGTTATTGAAGTTTCGTGGTTCAATGTGGTTGGTTTCAGGCCTAAATGAGTATTGTCAGTAGTTTCAGGTTTGCCACTTTTGAGCACTAATCGAGTAAATATCCGATCTCATCTACCTTAATTCCATTTTTGTATTCAGTTCTTTGGATGCTACTTTGAAGTGGGACAACTTAAACTAATGCACTTTTTATTGCTTTCTACATTGATTTTTGCCTGACAGGTTTTTCCTGTATGCAGTCATCTAGTTTGATAACTAATCGTGGTAAATCCGATTTTTTGGTCGAGTTCGTTGAACTGTTTGCATAGTATGATTTCAGATAAGATTGTCAGCGGTGATAGTGATGTAGAAATGTGCAGTGAAACTGTGTGTATAGTAATTTAACACTCACATTGAAAATTTTCACCGATGAATGTTTGAGATTCACTGGTTACCAACTTCCTGAGTTGATTAGTTTACTATGACTGATAGATGATCCTTATTGAAATATTAGTCTTAATGTGGTGTTAGATGGTGCTAACTTAAAGCTTTAACTGATTTCATGAAAGCAAGTCCTGATGTAGTCTATCAATTCTTGAGATAAAAAGTTCAGTGAGTTGAGATGACGTTCCAGCTCTCAACATGTCTGAATGTTTCAACCAGAAGAAATTGTGTAAGACGTTGCCTGTAAGATTACTGTGTATTCTGCACGGTGTAAATGGTATTCATCTGCACTTATCAGTAGTTAAATTTACCTGCCGAGTTGTGCTTGTTTTCGCGTTGTCATAGGCAAAAAAAGACCTGAAACTCATTTCACTATTCTTCATAACTATCTACTTAGTGGTTCTAATGCCGTTGTCATTTTATCCAGAAACTGTTAGGTACCACGTTATTCGAAGAATTATAGCAAGGCTATGAAACCAACTTCATATTCACATCTCAGCTTCATTATTCCCAAGCTTATCAAATGTGTAACGCTATTATGTGAAAGGCAGTTTCTCTGTATCAGCATCCAGTTTTAAATTACGACCTCCTGAAAGCTGCCACTTAACTCAGTGACTTGCGGTATTATCGGATATAGCCTTAAGCCGAGATCAGATGTGATCCTTTTCCAGTTCTCCTACAACCATAGCTCGTCTATACTTTTAGTGTGTGAGTAGCTAGTCTTGAGTCTAGCTTTGGTATTAAGTTGCAGTACTGGGAACCAACAACGATTTTAGTTACCAGTAAAACGCTAGATGAACTTTTCAAGTACTAAAGCATAATCAGAGTGCAAACAGGTTTCCAAAAAGTTTTACTTCTAAACATATAAGCCACCAATAATTGATTACATTATGGTCTCTTTGAGTCCAAATTTGAGTAGTAGAATTCATTCGGCATGCAGTTTTTAGAAGCATAGGCAAAGAGGTATTGTTTCCCTTGGCAGTTACTTCCTACCGTAATGGAACCTTCATCCCTGTCGTGTCACAAACGATTATTAATGGATATGCAGTTGACCAATACAGCTTCGGTTCTACTACTTTTTTTACGTGTGGACTGTTATACTGTCCGAACGCCCACACTAAAGCACTTGATCGTCGAAATTGGGTTAGGTTGAAAGAATTATCAGGGCTATCAGACCAATCAAGACGTGACATCAATCCATGAGGTCTCTGACTGGTGACCTGATCTGTGTAAGGTATAGACTACCTGACTGGGGTCCAAAAACGATAGTAATCAGTGGTGGAATACTGTTGGTGACATGACTGAAAATCAATCACAATGGCATAGTTCACTTTGACGCCTAAAGCTTGGATATTCTCAGTAACCTTCACTTTCCAATTGGTTCTCCTCATAAATGTTTGTGTTCTTTGATATCAGTCTTTTTCTATCCACTTTTTCTTTGTACGCAACTGTGAATTGTGGTAACTTGAAGCGATGCACTTGTGTGTAAGGTCCCATGTTGATTTTGCCATCGCTCTGCCATACTCTTCGAGAGTTTGACTTGAAACCTAATCCGCTGGGTAGTTGAGCAACGTCATATCCTGCATTCCAGTGGCTGCCGACAACCAAATCAGGTTCCTTCGTCGTCGGTCCGTCCTTAGTCTTCTAGCCTGTCTGCACCGTAGGTTTCGAATCAGGCTTTTCCGACTCTTCTGAGTAGACTTTTGATATCCACCAATGCAATGAAAAGCTGCATATATTCACTTTCGTTCACAAAATGTAGTCCTCCGAATGCAATGAGAAGAAGATAAGTTTATGGTTGGCATGCTTTTCACATCTATAAAATGTGGGATGTTGCCTCGCATCTACTTCTCACCGACTCCTAGTTTATGTATGGGGTATGAAGCGACGACATGACACTCAACTATCGATTAAAGGTTGAGCGTACTCTACACCAATTCACTTCTTCTTGCTTTGTGGCTACGGAAAATGATAATTGATGGAAGAGGGAATCCAAAGACTTCAAGTTTCCGACCACTGCTACCTCTTAATCAAAGGCTGTTGTGGAACTATCACTTAAGTGACAATGTCAGATGTAGAGCTTTAGGTAAAGGAGATTAGTTAGCTAAGTTGTAAACCTTGATCGACTCAGATATCTGGGATATGTTCCACATCTCCAATCTCCGTCTGATTCGTCACACAATTTTAGCTAAGGTATCTTAAAACCACAAGAAGGCTATAGATGACCAGACTAAGCCATAGCATTCGCCCATAATGTCTCTGTTCGTCTGTGTCGTATAGGGAAATGGAAACTTCCCACGTGGAATCTGCATGGGGGCGGGGTTGGAAACTCTACGTGATGTGACTCAGAATCGATCTCAATGATGTAAATGTATCCGCACATTATACTGGGTTTCATCATTGTTTCATTGCTTCGTGTTTTCTTTTCACATTTTACCACTTTTGAATACTTTCTCCTTATTTTTCTGTCTTTCGTTTTGGTGCCTTCTACTTTGTGCTGATATGAAATTTGGCAACTTAGACCGTTACTCAGTAGTGCAAGGTCTCATACTGATATCGACTGACTAGTAATTTACTCTGGTGACTGAAAACTTCAAATTATTATTTTCTGTATGTAATTGTGTCTCACAAGTCTTCATTCAATATCGGGTTTGATGTACATTCATTGTTAATCAGGTTAGTGTTCTTTGCATTAGGTTACCTCTTTTTATATCATTTTAAAGCTTTTGACTCTTGTCAACGATACATTTTAGCACTCCTATATGTGCTTATGGGTGCCTTCCTCGATAAACCGAAAACAGAGAAAGTAGTTGATATGGGCCAAGGAAATGGACTTCGATATGCTATTTCAAGTATGCAGGGGTGGCGAGTAGAAATGGAAGATGCCCATGTAGCAAAATCAGAACTTCCTGTTCCTTTTCAATACTGGTCATACTTTGGTGTATTTGATGGTCACGCAGGATCTCGTGTTTCTGAGCTTTGTGCTGCCAGGTTACTAGATGTAAGTCTGTTAACTGGTTTTTCATGATGACATACAGGCTATTCTCAATACAGAGGAATTTCAAAAACTGGATCCTTCTTGTAGTGAACTTGATACCACCTTAGTGAAACGGGGCATCGTTAATGGTTTCTTAACTTTTGATCGGGACTTGGCATCTGAAGACTCAAATGAAAAATCTGGCTCTACTGCAGTAGTCGCTTTTGTCACTCCTACACACATAATCATGGCAAATTGTGGTGATTCAAGAGCAATACTGGTTCGAGACAATAAACCTCTCCTAGCAACCCAAGATCATAAACCATATAATCCTATCGAACGTCGACGAATTTCTGAGGCTGGTGGTCAAGTTATGTTATCTCGTGTCAATGGTTCTTTAGCCGTTTCAAGGTAATTGCGTTTTTACCCTGATTTCCTTGGTATTTATTTCTTTCCAGATATTGGTCAACCGTTTCTCAGTTATGATTTCTGTAGTCTTCCATAGTTTGTTTCTGGTATATTGGACTTGAATACAGAAGCTGTTCTTAAGAATCAGTTATTTAGCTTATGGCTTTAAATCTCACAATCTGGTAGTTGAAGCGCTCCATTGGTCTCGTGGTATCTTAGGCTTATTCATTTCACTCAGTAGCTGTGTGACCATTAACAAGAATCCCAAACGAAAAACATCCATCTCAAAGAATATTTTGCTGTATTCGAGTTTCTGTGAGTTGATGTACATAACAACCATAGCATTGCTGCACGTAGAGTTCCATGACTGTAACTAGGTTTTTGTGTGGGATTTACATACATCATTGCATGGATAATTGAATCGAAGATCCCCAATACACTTACTAGTTTAGTAACACACGTACTAATTAATTCCTGTTTAAATAATAGTAGCCATTTTACTCCATTGTGTCATTCAAATAATCTGGGAAAGGTGTTTTATATGCATACATCCACGTTCTTATATCCTTTATTCCTTTTTTCCACAGATCTCTGGGGGATTTTGAATATAAACAAGTTTTTAGTCGTGGAGCTACGGAACAACTCGTTTCTCCTGAACCAGATGTATTTATTATTGAACGCCAAAAGGAATTCGACCAGGTTCTTCTCCTTGCATGTGATGGAGTTTGGGATGTATTCGAGAATGACACTCTTACCACTTACGTCCTTCATCGGTTGTGTTGTTTACCCTCTTTAGTGGATGTGTGTTCGGAAATCCTCGATACTAGCCTTCACAAGGTTAGTTTTTCTGTTAACAAACCAGTACAATATCTAGTACAGTCAGGTTTTTTAAGTTTGTTGATAATCGACGTCTCAAAAAGTAGTCCTTGCTTACCTGTTCAGTAAATGTCTCTAGCTGTAGTATCGAAGATTGTATTTAATCATCAGTGAGATTCTTCTTCGTAAACTGTTTACGCCTAATAATGGGTCGTGGCTAGCAGTGGAATCCAGGATGCGCATATAAAAACAATTATGTTTACGCTTAATTTTGATTTGCAACCTACTTTTGGGTTTATTTTTGGGTAAACGTTTAAGTCTTATTGGTCGCAAAAGTAATGTAAATTTATCTGTCACGTCACTCCATGTTATTTTTATTTAGACAAATGGATTTAAACTGTTAGTAAAGACTTCCAGCTAGAGCATTTATTACTGTTAAAAAATCTGGAACCCTAATTAACGTGCTCTATAGCGGTGAAAATGGTAGAAAATTGTTTTTAAGCGAAAACCTTCGCGAGAGTCCTCAACATTTTTGGCAAAATGAATTCGGTTATGTATGCTACCTCTTTGATTCCGTAACATATTCTTCTTAGACTGTTACCAGATACTAAAAAGAGTGTTCTGTTTTTGATGTCGTTTTGTTCTCCGAACTGGACGGCTTAACCGTGAGGCTTTTGCTGTCATTGTAGACAACATGATCAGCACAAATTTCAGAAAGAAATACTTCACTGATCATCCCAGGCAACAAAAAGGTAGAAAAATCTTGTGACAACCATAATGGAATTAGTTTGACCAATATTATGTCTAAGATCTTAGGGTCTGTAGCTATCCAACCCCAACTGAAGCTGGAGGAAACCAAGTAGGTTTCAGACCTGGACGAGGATGCATCGATCTGACCGAAGGGAGTACCAAGGAAGCATATTACGCTAATTAAAGCTCTTTACTCGAATTCACTCAGCCGTATAGTAGTGTAGAATAGTCATCAGAACTGACGACAACAAGTGGTGTCCACCAGAGATGCCCACTGTCACCGTCTCTATTTAACATCGGTAAAGAAGTACTAATGGGCATAACCTTAGGTATATCTGACATCACAGGGACTGGTCTACTCCCTGGAGACTGTGGTTGATTTCGAGTATGCAGATCACATTGTCCTGCTAAATGATGACGCTGACGCAATGCAGTCTTCTGGACGCGTTGAACAGAAATCTGAGTATATTTAGTATATGTTTTGCACCTGTGAAATGTAAGGTGGTGTTCCAGGACTGGTCTGCTGCATGTACTTCCAGTTTAATGATAGGGTGTGAAGTGGTGGGATGTGTCAACCACCTCACTTACTTGGGGAGTTGCATCAGCCCGAACAGGCTCGTTGCTGACGAAATGTCAGCTCGGATACAGAAACCCTGTTTGGCATTGGCCAACTTGCATCATCTGTTGCACTGGCTGTCGAGATACCCAACTACCTATAAGAGGACGAGTGTACTGCTCTGCAGTCCGTTCTGTCCTGTTGTACAGCTGTGAGACACAGCCGTTGGGAGTAGAAGACATGAGGTGGTTGTAGGGTTTTGGTCATGGGTGTTTTCGTAGCATTGCTCGCGTTTGGTGGAATCACCTTATGAGTAATGTTGTGTTCAGGCGAAAGGTAGTAGGCAAGATAGGGAAGTCAGTCGATGAGGTTGTGTACTTTAGTCTACTGAGATGGTCTGGACATTTACTTGCTGCACATATCGAGCCACCACCTGCCTCGAGGTGCGATGCTAGGGGATGTTGTATTAGTTTGGAAGAGGTTTCAGGGTGACGAGACCAAGACGTGGGACTAGTGGATGAAATCTCTTAGTATTGGCCTGAGCCGTGTTGGGAGATGTAGACTGAGTGGTTGGAGCTGCGAAGACGAAAGGAATCAGTGGTTGAGGAATAACTCTTAGTGAGATAGCCAAAAATTGGTCACAATGGCGCAGGTGTATTCACACCTTGACATCTAAAACTCGAATGTTCAACCAACCTTTATCTTCAAACGGTTTGTTCTCTCACACAATTGTGTCTACTTTGATGTCACTTTTTCTATCCACCTGTTCTAGTGTGCTGCTGTGTGTACTGTGACAACTTAAACCGATACACTTGTGTGGGGTTTTGCGTTGATTTCGTTGATCATTTTATGCGAAGTTTCCACTTGTCCTAGGTGTTATCTTCAACATTCTGCACTAACCTAGGTTCTTGTTTTCCTTATTTCTTCAGGGTAGTCGGGATAATATGAGTGTTCTTCTGGTTGCGTTGGACGCTGCCCCAACTGTGGATCCTGAAGCAATCCGTAAAGAAATGGAGCTAGATAGTTCCATAGAAAATCTTATTGTTGGTGAGTTTACGTAGTTTTTTTAAATGACACCTCCAAGAACTTTACCGCAGATATTTTGGTGGTTAACTTAGTTACCTACTGCAATTGAAGCACATTTAGAGGCGTTCTTTTTCTCTCGGGCGTAGTAATGTGATTAGGTGGCATTTGGATGAATTTACTATTTTGAGACAAATATTCTTTTGATTCAGTTATATGCATTGTCTTGATTTACCTTAAATGAAATGCGCGTAGATGGATTTCTTCATGATGGTGTTTATTTTTTAGACCTAGGTTGAGGACTCCTGGTGAACAAAGGAAGCATGCAATATCAATATCTCCCTATCATATCAAAATTGTGGAACCATTAATCATCTCATTCACTTACTCATTCCATGAAGCATATTGTAAAGCACCCATTGTATTTAATTGGAAAAATACAAATTTTGTCAATCTGAGGATAGTGTTGAACTGTTATTTCAGTGTTTTATGCACAATATCCTTTCGATGCATTGATGTGAATTCAGTGTACATCGTACTGCCAGTGTTATTGTTTTACGAATAAGATTCTACTTTTCCTCAGTTTGCTTTATCTTTTGTCTTTCGCCTTCATGAATAAAACCCCTGGTTAGTAATGAAAAGCACGTTAGCTTGTCTAAATGTGATGCTGAAAAGTGTTTCTTCGTTATGTCACTAAAACCGACTGAGCAGGAAATAAGTATCAAACAAAGAACAGTTATAATTGTCCGACTAGTTGAGTTGTATTCATTCTCCATGCCAAGTCAGTTCTGCAGGTTAACCAAATGTCCATTTTAGTTCCTTCTTTGGGTGGTAGTATACGGCATTTATATAGATTTTACAGTCGAGTTAATGTTACGTTCATGAACCAGTGCACCTGAAGTGTTTATGTAATTTACCTTTATTCATACTCAGATATCATGAATTCAGCTGGTGAAGATGCTGACACTTTGAGTGTGAACTATGTCGCCAATACAGTTAAAAGTATGAACCTTCCCAATTATCCTCCGGGTGGCTTCAACACCAAGTGAGCACCTCACTAAGAGTTATAATTATGCTAATTGTTTGCATTAATTTAATTACTGAGCGTAAATATAGTATTGTGGTCAGTATTGTAGACGTTGATTTCTAGTTTGTATTACTTTTAGTTTCATTTTCTATGCTTAAATAGTTCAGAGTTGCGTTGTGCTTGGTCTCAGTCACTACAGTTGACTGTCGTGTTAGCTTTTTACTTTTCATCAGTGATAACAACGTGCTCTTTTTCTTTGTCCTCATTCGTTATCCAAACTACTTTGTTTGTTTTTCAAACTACTCTGCTTGTGCAGTTAATCCAAAAGAGAACAGCAATTTAAACAGCCATGTTTCTAGCTGACATCTAACGTAATAAATGATAGTAGACATGAACATAACGGTCACCCAAAAAAGCTACGTGCTGGTACGCCTGCTTTTTAGGGTCATGTAGTATCAACAAGATTGGAGGAAATGGAAAAAAAATCGAAAGCTCGTATTATCATGATTTAATCGACCTATGCAATGTTGGGGACCTAAAGCGTTGTTTTAGTTGAGGCTTGTCACTTAATTATCTATCATCCGACTTTTCTAGTAGTGGTAAAATGAGTAATACAACCGCCATGTACAGATTTATGTCCTTTGCGATTAGCCACATTCATTTTCCGATGGTTAATACCACCGAGTCACTCTGTAGATAGGGGAAAGTTCACATTCCCTATTTGTAGAATGTCGAATACCTTAACTGATGAGCTACATCTCTATCATACGTATCACTTTAAGACTTGAAGAAAAAGAGTTTGAAAGGGTGAGTCTGATTCCTGTTCTTCCGGACATGCTGTCTCTGTTTGCTTAGACTTTAAAGGTCGAACGGAACCACGTAAAGTTGGCACTTACCAGAAAGTTATATGTAACCAGTCGTTTGCATATATCCCTGTGACTTTGTGGTCACTCAACTAGTTCTCGCTCTGGTAAGGAGACACTAGCAACCTGGTTTCTATCATATAACAATATACTAATCTGCTATTCAGATGTAAATGCTGTGCGACTCAACACTTGATAATTGGGAACCTAAGCTTATGCGTCATAACTCAAAACGATACGAACTTTTCAGATGTGAACGTCTAAAAAGTACCGGTTATCTGCACACAAATTTCCTTGATAATTAGTGACGTGCGCTTCTATTTCTTCCTTTTTGCTTTCATATTACCAACACTCAATTTCTCAGTTCTGTTAGTGTTTTCTCACTTTTTGATCTTGACCAACTGTGGAAGTAAGGACTAACACCCGTCCTCATTTATATGTATGATTCTCTTGTGATTCGTGTCTCACTTATTTCCTACTCCAAAAGTCCCGATATATATGGATAGTCATATTAGAAAGTAACTTCAGTAGGAAATTAGGAATGGATATCTCAATAACCTTGTACCGATAACAATAGTTGTTTCTTTTAATTTCGCTGTAACAGTTGCTTGATTTTGTCCATTAATATCTTCCAACATAAGGAGACGCACCGTCTTACGTAATGTCCATAGGCGTCAATCCAGCAGTAGACACAAGCAAGTCATACTGCTATTCGCTTACAGTGAATAAGGTCTGTAGGAGACTCGTTTTTAAAATTTCTAGATGCCAACTTTCTGTTGTTTTAGACGCACGTGTGTTTACACGACGGAGCGCGAAGACCATCCAACTCAGAAGTTTCCTCGTATTGCATTTGAAGATGAGAACATTAGTAGTGTAACTCTGAATTTGCTAGCTTCTTTTGTTGAAAGTGCAAACTTTCACCTCTTTTTGTTGTTCTGTCGTGGAAAACGTGGTGCTTTTGAATTTATGGCTAGTAAAAGTTACAGTACCTTGGTAACCGTTCCATAACTAATGGTTTTACAGGGACCTGTCCATGTTGGCTACAAGCGATTTAAGCATGGGAGGCGGCTTAAACATATGGACTGGCAATGGATGGTGGAAAAGAAGACGCTGAATTTAGTTACTTGCGGGTAGATGTAGGTTTCATTAAAGAGACCCATTTAAAAAGTCAGTAGCTAAAATAGCACAAAGCCAAGCTTTCTTAGTAGACTTACAATAAGCGAGCAGAGCATTGGGTGCACCACCCTGAACATAGTTTCATCTAATCCTTAGTTACCCAATATCAAACTGCAGCTGGGATTTATCATAGACTTAAAACCTCCATCTCTTATCAAAGTTTAGAACATAATAAACCGGATAACGAGTTAAACAGCAGGAACCTAGTTTATTTAGTAGATCTATGGCTCATTGGAATGAAGAGTGTAATTGCAACAGTTATAGTAATGTATCTTTTCTTTCCCATTGCATGTATTTGATCATTTTAAACAGAGTATATGTCAGTCAGTTAGTTCGAAATACATCAGATATTTCAGGTACAATGTTTTAAAGTTTGCTTATGGTCTTACATTGTGGTTACTTACCATGCTTTGAGATAACTGTCACGTCTGCCTGTGATATGAAGCTGTAAGTCTGATAGGTAATTCATTTGATACTTATAATTCTGTAGCTATTGGTAGCTTGAAACAGAGGGCCGTCATATTTACTTACGTAATGTGCAGTTCAGTGTAATGGGTAGTCCTGTGGACAGTTGTTTTTTTCAAGATGAAATGTAAATATGCTTACACTAAGTAGAAACGAAAGTAAATCTTTTCGCATGGTATCTGGGTTAATAGTGCGATGATTTCCAACAACAGCAAACGAGGAAATAAATGGAAAGCGAAATATACTGAAACCGGAAAGATCGTAGAGAAAAGTCAACCAACTGAAATAGTTGAGGCAACTTTCAAAATAAATAAAATAGCTAACGCATCCAGCTATTTTATTCCTACACACTAAAAGAAATAATAATGACTACTATCGCTCAAACAATCATTGCTAAAGTTCTAAAGTATTCCTCAGTGCATTCCTAGATTTTTTCACACTTAATATCGTCTATATTTACACCAGTGTTTCGCATTCCAGTCGTCGCTGCTGGTGAGGAAAACCCTCATAAGACTTCTATGGTTCAGTGGTATTTTATAATATGAGTAGGATTTCCTACTGACCGAGGTGCATTACTTGTTTGCTATAATATCGTTTTAGGGTAGTAATACACTATGGGTTTGCTTGTAACTGTGAGGGATATGACATTGTTTCTTCAATTTAGTTATTCTACTAAAGAATCATCCCTATACTAAGACCCTTTGGAACTCTTTTTTGATATCTCTAAGTGTATCCAGTTATTATTTGTATGCGGGATTCCATAACGGTACAATCAAGAAGTATGTAGGGTGGGGGAGAGATCTGTGATTCAGTTGCATGCGTTTCGATGATCTCCCACTTTTATATAGCTCAGCGGGCACAATGTGGCAATACAAATAAGGTTTCACAAGTGAGCTCTTTTTTCACCGTTATATGAAATTCTGAAGTTCTTTGTAATCATATTATCTGCATTCTTTTGACTAATAACTTGAATTCCTTGGTGGATTTTTGTCTTTTGTGTTTATTTTTTGACATACTTGTTATTCGCTGTTGTTTTGTTGGATCAAATTGTTCGACCTCTGTTGGCATATAGGCTCCTACATGGATGCCTCGATATTACCTGAATGGCAATTATGATAATTTGGTTGGTTGTGGCTAGCAGAAGAGTTCAGGGTATGTTTCGTCCTACTTGAGACTCGCCAGTTGGACGTACCTGCACCCCAGTGATGTTGTTCCCACTGAGCCTCGAACTCCATACCCATTGCTTCAAACGCCGAAGCGTTATCCACTATGCCACAGAGGGACGATAGCCACTTCTTGTACAACGGGTAGTAGTTATTACTATTTATTGGCATACTTATTATTCTCCGTTGTTTTGTTGGATGGAATTGTTCGACCACAACCAACCAAATTATCATAATTAACATTCAAGTAATATCGAGGCGTCCGCACAGGAGCCTATATGCAAATAGATGTCGAACAATTCGATCCAACAAAACAACGGAGAATAATAAGTATGCCAATAAATAGTAATAACTACTACCCGTTGTACAAGAAGTGGCTATCGTCCCTCTGTGGCATAGTGGATAACGCTTCGGCGTTTGAAGCGATGGGTATGGAGTTCGAGGCTCAGTGGGAACAACATCACTGGGGTGCAGGTGCATCCGGCTGACGAGTGTCAAATAGGATGAAACGCCCGTCCTGGATTTTCCTGCTAGCCACAACCAACAAAATTTTGGGTTTGTTTTTCAAAGTGTCAAATGCCTTGAACTCATATCCCACTCAACTCAAGTGCCTTCCTTTGCGTTTCTTATCACTCCTAAAGTTGGATAATCTTCTTGTAATCACTTCGTTATAATAAATTTGACAGTGTTTGTTGGTTAGATAGTTTTGCCTCGTCCATATAATGTCCATTTGCCATTCACTGTGGTTTACTGATTATCCTTTACTATCGTTGTCACAAGCCAAGTTGAAAGCAGTTATCAAGACAGTCTTTGGAAGAATAATATAAGATAAATAGTGAGATCAAGTATTATTAATTCCTGATGAGACTCTTTGAGGTAACCTTGGTTTGAAAACATCTTTATCAGGTAGTATGGTTATATGGTTAAAGTTGAAGTGGAAATCTGGATTTTTGGCCGCTTATTGATGTTTTTTCTCCCAAGGGTTTTTTTTCCACTGAATACAGGCTTTCGGATGCAAAGAAATGAAAAAGCAGTTTAATCTTCATATTCCGCTGATGGACTTGGTGTTTCTGTTTATTTAAATTTATATGAAATAAGTGCATGAGTTATAATCTCACTTATTTTGTCTACTTTCTGTTTGTGCATGTTTACAACAGTCTTCTTCGCGAATTTCGTTTGAAGTAAATTAGAGCTGCAAAATTTTAGATAAATTATCTTAGCTTAGTTACCTTAAATTGCCGTACACTTGAATTACACTGCCGAAAAGCTGGTTTATCCCTAATATCATCTCATATTTTTACATTTTAGACGTGCTTATGTAGAAAACTTTTTCAACGCACGTTTCCGGCAGAATAAGTAGCAAGTAAGTAGTAAGACGCTATGTTGGAACATTATGCTTTAATATTTTGCATTTACCATCGGATATTAGCCATACGTTTTATGAAAACAAAAATGGAAAATCTTAGTTTTGTGTAAAATATAATGTGGTTTGGTACGATTTATTACCTGCCTGTTGTACCTTTCAAATCCAGTTGCTATCCCCTTGACTTTTACAACTTGCTGTATTCCTTTAGTAGGGATGATGTAGTTTGCATCGTGTTTTCAGACTTCTTTATTTGAATAAGTACTTTACAATATTATAAAGAAAGAAATTGTCCGTAAATTGCTGGAGAGATAATGTGAGGTTCGCTGGAGTTTCTTCCTTAATGCAAGACTTTCCTAGCTACTTCGTAGTGTGTCACTTTTGTCACCATTATGTGAATAGTATTCCAACATGCTGTTGAATCAGTTAAAGGTTCACAATAATTTATGAGATCGTTGTTATAAAATTTCGTTTTGATGAGTATCTGTTTCACTGTAGTACAAAACTGGCTATGTTCCCAATCATAACACAAGTCATTTATTTTCCTATTAACCTTTTACTTCATTCAATGCTTGTCACTCCTCTCTGAGTGGTATGCATTCTGAAAACTTTGATTAAGGTTTCTTTCTCCAACTAGATATCTCTGAAAGGATAATTTCTCAGACTGTTTGTTATACTGCTTATATACTGCTTAATGATATGATGACTGTACCAATTATAAAGTTTCTTTGATAATTTAATGCGATTGCAAAATAATTTATATGAACCATGATAAATTTTTGACCGAATAGTATGGCAAATATTGGGCGCTGAGTAAAAGGTTGATATCAGATATAGTTTGTATTTGTGTCACAGAGTGTTTGAAACCAAATTATTTGATTTCAAACGTGTTATAACCTACATAAATACAAACTATATCTAATTTGTATTGCTTAATGTTTAAATTCTGATCGCTACTTTGCATTATTACACTTTATTTTGCTGGATATTTATTTGTTGCAACTGTCATCTGGTGTTTTTCTGCTAATCGTCGTTTTGGATCGACTAATCGAACTTTATTCGCCTATCATTACGTCTTGATTCATGTATATTTCATGACCCATTTAATTCTAATGAGGAATACTTTTCATGCACCAGTTTTAAGGTGTAAGAAAAACTGTCTAGTGTGAAAGATAATTGTGAATAATATCGGTTATCACTGTGATGTGTTTGATTTTCAGGAATAACTTTGTTTCTATGCACATGTAGTCATTTTATCCTGATAGATTATGATGAAATAAAGTGACAAACTTTTAGAGTTGATGAGCATATGTGCAACAGTTTTTAACCTTAAGGTTTGAATTATCTGAATATTATTGACACGAGAGTTTTTATTCATATGACTTTAATGCTTACCAATCAGTGTGCAAGCTAATGTAATGTTCTTCTTAAACATACTAATTTGCTGTAACGAACGAAACTGCGCTGTCAAAATTTCATCTTATTTCGATTCTATGTAATCATTATCGTGGTGATAGTTTTGTTCGTTTAACTAAGAGTATAGACTTAACCAGAACACACCTGAATTGTCTTTAAAAATATTTTGATACTACAAAGAATAGACATACCAATATTCATTGTATTATGGACAACATTGACGACACAAATACTGTCACTCTTCACACATGCTGACTAGGGAGTAGGGAAATATTTGTAGTCCAAGTGCCTGTAGGTATTTTTTTCTTCAAATGGATACCATGTTTAAAAATATATTTTAATTGTGTTTTCAGGTTGCTCGCAAATAATTGAATGCTCAAACTCAATGAAAATTCCAGTTCTGAATTTAGAGACCACCCCCTTTTATTACTCATATCTTCTCCCATCCATCTAACACCATTATGAATTTTCTCTTAGTACTGCCTCTTCATTGACTTTAGATAAATTGGATTTTTCTCATCTGTAATTTGCACCATCGTAGTTGATGTATATGTTTTTCTATTTGACGGCCACCTAACTACGATGGTATTTACCATCATCTTTTTCAATTCTTCGAAGTGGAAAACTTATTCAGATTTGTCTTCCCAGTTATCTGTTTTGTCTTAAATTTTTCATTTCATGCAATACACTACTTACTTTGGTCCAAGTTCTCAACTTCACTGACAGAATGCTTAATATTTCAGTCGTTCTAGTGACCTCATGTAAACGTCGTTGAGTCATAATGTCCCTTATTCTAATTCTTGTGCACAGTTTATTTGTATTATTTGAGTATTTGTGATTTTATTGTATAGGAATTCAAATCTTACAGGCCCTTACCTTAAATAATACCACTGGGCAGATATTCAAGATATTAACAGCCCTCTGCATTTTAATTTGTTTTGTTTAGTTTACAATTTAATAAATGAATTCGTTTCCTTCGTATCCGTACATTCGTTTATCATATTTTTGTGCCTATAACTTTTACAAAACAAGCTTTTATGCTGATCAGAGGGAAGAAATATACTGTTTATGTGTACCTGTTATCCTTTTTATTTTGAAACTCATCTTTCTTCACTTGCTCCACTTAGAATACCATCAATAGCTTCATTTATTTTCGTATACCTAAAGTGTTATTCGAAGAATAAACTTCCTGCAGCTGTTTTATATACCCTAACGATAGAAATCTGGAATGTTGGGGAGTTGCATCAGTCCAAACAGGATCGTTGCTGACGAAATGTCAGCTCGGATACAGAAACCCTGTTTGGCATTGGCCAACTTGCATCATCTGTTGCACTGGCTGTCGAGATACCCAACTACCTATAAGAGGACGAGTGTACTGCTCTGCAGTCCGTTCTGTCCTGTTGTACAGCTGTGAGACACAGCCGTTGGGAGTAGAAGACATGAGGTGGTTGTAGGGTTTTGGTCATGGGTGTTTTCGTAGCATTGCTCGCGTTTGGTGGAATCACCTTATGAGTAATGTTGTGTTCAGGCGAAAGGTAGTAGGCAAGATAGGGAAGTCAGTCGATGAGGTTGTGTACTTTAGTCTACTGAGATGGTCTGGACATTTACTTGCTGCACATATCGAGCCACCACCTGCCTCGAGGTGCGATGCTAGGGGATGTTGTATTAGTTTGGAAGAGGTTTCAGGGTGACGAGACCAAGACGTGGGACTAGTGGATGAAATCTCTTAGTATTGGCCTGAGCCGTGTTGGGAGATGTAGACTGAGTGGTTGGAGCTGCGAAGACGAAAAGAATCAGTGGCTGAGGAATAACTCTTAGTGAGATAGCCAAAAATTGGTCACAATGGTGCAGTTGTATTCACTCTTTAACGGCTCATAAAGCTTGAATGTTTTCAGTAGCCTTCATTTTCAAATTGATTCTCCTCCCATATATCCCTACCTACTTTGTTATCAGTCTTTTTCTGTCCACTTTTTCTTTGCATACTGCTACGCATTGTCTCAACTTGAACCGATGCAGTTGTGTGCGAGGTTGTACATTTATCCTTTCTTGGCAGCTGCAAAATCCTGAAATTATGTATCAGTATATTTTCTCACTAATATCGATCTTTCAAAAAGATGTCAGTATTTCACAGTTGATATTTTAGCCTACCGATTACATAGCAATAAAGGTCTGTATCAGAAGACTTCCTTTCTTCACTTGATAACAAAGAGTTTGACCTAACCGCAGGAGAATTTTCATTAGACCTAGAATATGCAGATGACGTAGTCCAGTTAAGTGAAGATGCTGATAAGATGCAGAGTATTCTGAACACTGAGTGGCAATATGAGAATGTTTGGGACGCGCTTCTCAAATGCAAATTGTTGCTCCAGGATTGGTCTTCAACGCTGCTACGGCTAACACTAAAGAGTGTAGTGATTGAGTGTGTCGACCGCCTCTTACCTGGGAAGTAGGATCAGTGGCCGATGAAATCTCTGTACGGATGCAAAATGCTCGGCTGGCTTTTGCCAACTTACGCCAGTGTGTCCGATTGTCTATTAAGGGTCACGTGTACTGCACAGCAGTCCGCTCTGTTCTACTGTACGGCTGTGAAACATGGCCATTGAAGGTGGAAGACATAAGAAGGCTTCAAGTGTTTGACCATCGTTGTCTTTGAAGTATAGGCCGTATTCCGACGTGTCACCAAGTGAGTAACTCAGAAGTCAGGTGTGGAGTTTTAGGAGGAGGTAAATCAGTTGACATGGTTGTGAACCTTCATCGACTGAGATAGTTGGGACACGTACTACGTATTCTCAGTCACCGATTGCCTCATCACACAATGTTGGCCGATGTAGGTCCAGGCTGGAAAAAGGCCCGAGGTGGCCAGACTAAAATATGGCATCAATGTATGAAGTCTCTGACTGTTGGTTTGAGCCATGTGAGGCGACGGAAACTGGGTGGTTGAGGTCGGCGGGACAAGAGGAACCAGTGGTTGGAGACTGACTCTAGGTGATATGGCTCAGAATCGATGTCTGTGGCGCAGATGTATACACACATTATCCTCATCTTAACGCTATACCGAATCTCACCACCTCATTCTTCGTTCCTCTCCTTTAGTACTTTATATTTCTTTTGACTGAATTTTCTTATCTTCATGTTTCACCTCACTGCCTTGTTTACCTGATGTACTGATATGAGGTGTGGCAACTCGGACCGTTACGCAGTAATGCCTGGTCCTATGTTGATATTGATGATGATATCAGAAGTATATACCGAATAAACCTTATTTACTTGTCAAATTACTTATCAAGCTTATTGATTGTCTGCAACCCTACTGTCGTTATCCTTAAAGTTCAGAAACATTTGGATACTATAAATATACGCTGTTGCTCTAGCAAAGAGTAAAGATTCCTAAGTGAGTTATGAAACTAAGTCTTTGAGCGCAGATAGCAAGCTTTTTCACACGCCTAATGAAACGTGCATTGGGACTTGGTAGTTATGAAAATATTTTATGCATCTGAGATGTAACCACGGCATTGATTGTGACATTTGAACCCTTGGTCCAGTTGAACAACTTATAGTGGTCTTACTTTAAGTTTTTTGATGCTGTTTTGGAGGACTACGAAATATGGAGGAATCGTAGAGTCAGTGGATATAAACACGTAAAACATATCCGGATATGTAATTCAGCAGTCAGGAATAAAAACGTGAAGTAGATACAATATATACTCAGGTAACACTCATTATTTATGTTGAACATTAGGTAATCATCAGCGGAAAAAGCCAGTGAACAGGAAAAAGGTGATATTGAAGTAGATAAAAGTGCATGGGATAAGAGAGAATTCAAAGAAAATGAAGGTAGTCAAAAATATTCTAAGTTTCGTTGATGTTGAAGAGTGTATACATCTCCGCCATTATAACCGACTTTCAGCTATAATACCAAGTCTGCAGTTGATTCCTGTTATCTCTGGGAATAAGGCCACTTCGGTGCAAGGCTCAGATCAACAGTCAGACACTTCATCGCCTGGTGCCAAGTCTTGATATAACCACCCTGAGCCTTCCAGTCCTATCCCAGGTAACATCGCTTATCGAGGTAGGCTGTGGCTCGGCGTGCGCAGTACATTCAAATCACTTCAATCGGTGAAGGTTAACAACCTCATCGACCGGCCTGCCGTCTTTGACCAGCAGGTACCATGATACCAGTGGTCAAAAGTCTGTAATTTCATTATCTTTTCAGTCACCATTTCCAGTG